AATTAAATGTATTTTTTTTTTAATATTATTAGTGTGAAGTATTTATCAATTTTGTTTATGCTTAATTTTTATTGAGGAACTTAACATATTACTTTTAGTTAAACATTCTCATCAAACAAACAAAATTTTATCTTTAAAGTCGGAACCTAAAACTTTGTTTAAAGAATTAAAACCCATTTTTCCTTGAACATGTTAGTAGTGAATCAAATGTATTCAACTATTTGAAAATGTTTTTGATTGAGAATGCTTTTGAGTAAACATGATAATTATCAAAAATAAAATAAAATATAAGGTTGCATCAATCATGCTTATTCCACTATATATGAGAAGGCTAACACATATGAAATACAATTATATAATTGTATTGGTTGGTGCTAGCAATAATTTCTTTAATACTCATTTATTAATATTTTTTATTATATGTTAAAATTTATTAAAAATCATAAATTTTGTATCTTATTTTATGATTCCATCTCCTAATTAGTGATAAAAATCACAAAAACTTGTGAATTTTAACAAAAAAAATAAGTAAGGAGAATGTTAGGAAAAAAAATATTAGAATAAGTATCGCTAACATTTCTCTTCCTTATTATAATCACGAGTCTCCCATTTTAATCATATTTTTTATCATAAAATTTGAATATAAAATTTAATTTAACAAATTTAAATTCGGTGTTACTTAAACATAGTAAGTCGAATGCATCTAACCATTTGGAAATGTTTTCAATCGAGAATTCTTTGAGTCGATATGAAAATAAACAAATAATACTTCCATTTTTTAAATAATCATTATTTTAATATTTTAAATTATTTTATTTATAATATAAAAAATATTTATAATTTTTTTTTTCAATTATGTTCTCCACCTTCTCCCATGATTAAACAGTAAGAACATCTTCAACATAAACTTTCTACTGTTAAGAACACTGATTAGTAAGGAATATTTTTTTATGAAGGTTACTGAGTGAGTAGATGATTTATTGTTACGTTTTTGTTGAACATTAATTTTAAGACAACAGATGAATTATTATTATTTTTTTACAGCAAAATTTATTTATTTATATTAAAAATGTAATATTATTAATATAATTTGTTGTATTTTAATTAAAAAAATTATTTAATAATTTCGTAACTTTTATCCTTAAAGGAATGGTTAACAAAACCATAAAATAGTTTCTTTAATTCGCACGCAGTTCTCTAAAATAACAACTATTTTAAGAATGGAAGCTGTACCTATTTAAACATTTTTCCTTAAAAATGCATGATTATTGATACCAAAACTCTAAAACCGTAAAACAACCCACAGAATTAAACTCACCATAATTAATTACCAATTGATTAGGTAAAACATCACTCTTGATTATGTGACTTGGGTCATGGAAAAACAGTGGCCGTTGTCTGTTTTATAAAAGAAAAAAGAACTAAAAAGCATTCTCTTGATTAGTAAATATTTTTTATTGCTTAGATTTTTATATTAAAAAAAATCTCAAATTAGTAATTTGTTATTTAATATATGACTGCCTATGCCGGTCCCCTTGTATTAAATTAAAAGATGTTAGTGGGATGACTCACCTTAAGATAGCCACATAGCCATCTTTTGTCGGTTCAATTAAGCTTTGTTGATGGATACATATGCCTCACTCTGCTTCTTTCATTCAAATTTCAATCGTATCATACCATGATTTTCTTTTTTATATATAACTATTTATAGTAAAAAAATAAAATATATTTATAACTCAAAATTATAGTTTTTATAATTATAATTTTAACTTATAAGGAATTTCATTAAATATCTAATATGTTAACAAAAGTTAATCCAGTTAGTTAGTAAATTCTGATTCTAATAAATCAACAAAGTCTAACTCACTTAAATATTTGTATATAAAAAAATATAATATTTTTTATTTTTAATGAAGATTATTAGTAAGATGGAAGTGCAAGCATTGATTAATTTGTCGCACGGTTGATTTTCCTTTGTTATTATGTCTCTTAAAAAGGAAAAAGGTGAAAGGGTGTGTAGTTTTAGAAATGGGAATAATGAGAATTAAAGGTAGAAAACGTAGAAACATATAAGAAGAGAGAAGGAAGTTTGTCTAGTCTGCAAATTCCAAAGAGAAGACTGTGACTTTAAATCATGTTTCTTTGTCTCAACATTTCTTTTTTTCTCTTTATTCCATCTTTGATCTTTGATCTTTGATCTTTGATCTTTGATCTTTGATCTTTGATCCTCATACCCCACCCCCACACGTTCCCTCTATTCAATAATAAATCCATGGGGCTACCCCTTTCAACTAACTTATGCCTCTACTCTCTCCCATTAATTGCTACCAATATTTTTTATTTTGTTATCAATCTATCGTATAAACAATTACTATACCTTTCATTCAAATATATGCTATGCCCCCTCCATATTTATTTTCCATCTGTTGCTGTTTCCAAAGATTAAATATACATATACAAAATTACATCACTTTTAACGTTGAAATACTTTCAATAATTTTATAATTATATATTCCAAACTTAAATATGGTTTTGAGAGAGAAAGAGGGGGGACAGAGAGAGAATCAAATTCATATATCATTATTATTGACTTGTATAAGCAGTCAAAACAGAAACTAGGTGGAAGAGTTGTGATTATTATAACACCAAAAATAGCTGCATATAATAATGATCATAATTTATTGTCGTATTGAATATGAAATAAAATTAAGGGTCGATATCCGGCATTGACTAAGAAAATTCTAGTACACATGATAAATATTTAGCTTAATTCGTATTCACGATTACCTTCACCTAATTTTCACTCCTGTTATACATAGTTTCATTTTTTAGTTTGTTTTTTTGGTTCGACCAAATCTTTTCATAAAAACATATAAAAACTTAGGAAAGTATTCCTTTCTGTTCAATTAGAATTCTACATATGTACATGTATGCAATGAACAATCCAACGATTCTTTTTATTTTTAAACAATTTTCATTTACTATTTTAATGAAAAGATAATTTAAGGGATGGAAATTGTGCAGTAAAATTTTAACTGCCGAAGATTATAAGTATATATAATCATCAAAATATATTATTTTATCAAATTTATATTCTACAAAATTTTATCATGAGGACAAATTTTATTCTTAGAATAGACAAATTTTACCAATACAAGTTATTAAGTTTAAATTTTGTGTATAAAAATATAATATACTTAAGAGAGGGTAATCAATCAAATTTTTTAATAGAAATTAGTCAATAATATAATTACCCAAAAATAAAATAGACGAATTCTTACCAAATTAATAAGCACATTAGAGATGGATAACACTCTCGCCACTATACAGTTTGTTTTTGGAAGTGAATTGTTATAGCATCTCTTTCTTATTTTTCTTAACTTTAATTCGATGTTAATAAGCACATCATTTTTTTACTGTCAATTTTTTTACATATAAACTAGAAAAGAAATAGTTGATTATATCTTTGATCTACCTCACATTATGGTATATTTGAATTTTGTTACTTTTGTTTTCCTATATTAGTCGTCATACTTTAGTCTTGCATATTAGTAAAAATCTAAATGAGTAGTAGGTGATATATGTAAGTTTTATTATAAACCACTTTAAAGACAATGGGAGGGGGAACAACTCAATGTATGAAATTTAATCTAAAACAGGTCCTATGATAGTTGATTTAGAGGTTTGTGCCCGCGTATTTATTGAATGGGTAATGAAAAGACAAAAGAAAAAGGGAAAAAGAGCTAACCCAAACTTTTTTCGTCTAAACGTATATTTTTGTGTCATCATTCGAAATGGATATTAGTCCCTTGCCAATCAAATCTATACAGAAAAATGTCATTAAACAGCTATACTACTAAGGAGAAAAAAAATTGTCATTTTGGTTAACACATGAAAAAGGGTGGTGTCTAAAGTAAATCATCGTCTAAGTGATTTAATCATCAAAATAAAATATGATCGAAAATTAACGAGTAAAAACAAAAGAGTAATTGTTGAAAGCAGTGAGTGTAGAAGGACAAGTTATGATAAGTGGTGATTAATTGTGAGTCTCAAAGTGTTGTACTGGCAGATGAACAAGAATAACAAGTCTTGTACTGGTGTCCAATGCTTAAAATCAACGAGTGTTTAGCTAGAATAAATGCGTCCCAGTTTACTACATAAAGCTGAACATCATAGTTACTCCAGCTTGCCAAACTGGGGTTGCTGATGCTGTGGATCATGCTCCTCAATTTAATTCTTTTCCACTTACAATCCCTTGGGTAGTTGCTACTGCTAGACATGATAATAACCTTGGTCGTGCATCTAGACACTGCATTTTCTCAGATTCGGTATGCTCAACGGAAGACCGAATTCAATGACCCTTGTACATTGTCTCCATCATTCTCTTCCAACACTTATTCACTGCCAGGACTTTGCTTCAACTTTAGTTATATTTGGCTCAACCTATTCACCCATCCCACTTTTCCCATTAACAAATAAGCCATAAGGGGCCATCCAACCTCTTGTAATTAGATACTTCAACTCTATCTATTCAAATGTCCTTTTGTAACAATTTGGTTCACACTATTATTATTATTATTATTATTGTTAAGCCTTGAAAGTGCACCGGATAATGGTACACTATAGATTAAAAAAAATTTCACTCAACCCCTTTTGATTTGTTAAGATGATGTGTAAAAGAAAATTGGATAAAGCTCCCACTCAACAAAGAAAACAATGTTCTGTAGTGCAATATTTTAGAGAATCCTCAAATAAACATGAAAACTCACTAAATTCTTCCATGGATTATTATAGTACTTTTATATATATATACTAGTATATTAGTATTGAAAAGACAAGATACATTTATCCAGAGAGTACTTTTCCGTTGTTTCTTATTTTATTAATTATAGTACATGGTGTGCATGACCATGGCCATTGATATTGAGCCAAACCCTTTACCCTTTTTCCACTTTAATAATTCAAAACCTGATGTCCTCCCATAATCATGTGGAGACATAGGCAGAGTCGATTAAAATAAAATAATAACCTTCCAAAATTAAAATAAGGAGGAGGAGATGATTAAAATAAACAAGTTTTGTAGGTTCCAACCAACCAAAACTTGAAAAAAAGTAATTAATTGAAGACCGTGTAACTTAGGCCTTGTGGACATGTCGCCCACCCTCATGGCAAATCAAAACCAACGAGAGTCTGCTGAATGTCTGACTTGGCTTTTGCTTTTGCTTATCACACTCTCTCTCTCTTTTGTTTATTAAAGTAGCTTCTGTTGTGTATATATATAAGGACCCTAAGGTGGCGGCTTTTCTTTTCAGCCTTGATCAGTTTCATTCATTGGAAGATATGGGAACATTGAAACAAATTGGTGCTCCTCAAACACAATCATCATCATCCTCATCTTCTTCCATTGATAGCAACAACCACCCTTCTAGGACTCCACCACCACCCTCTTCACCTTCATCAAGCGTATGCAGAAACAGAACTGATTTGAGCACTGATCTCAGACTTGGCCTTAGCATCTCTCCTTCTTCTCAATCTGAATCACCCTTCAATTCAACACCGAGGTACGTACATACCTTTTTCTACTCCAATCATCTCAATTGCCCTTTTTTAAGCTTTGATGTTTTAATCTTGATCCTGTTGTTTGTGTTGAATATGTTCATGCATGTATGATCAATTGCATTAACATGGTAATATATGATGTACCCTTCAGGGAAGAAAGTTTTGATTGGCCACCAATTAAGTCCATATTGAGGAGCACCCTTGTGGGGAAACAAAGCCATCTGAGCCAAAGACCCTCTTTATTTGTCAAAGTCTACATGGAAGGCATCCCCATAGGAAGAAAATTGAATCTGTTGGCACATTATAGCTATGATGGACTTGTGAAAACTCTTGGCCACATGTTTAGGACCATAATTCTCTGTAAGTATTTGAAACCCTCATAAAATAATTTCCTTTTGCACCCTCTTTTAGACCATCATATTAATTTAGAGATCAAATTTGTTTTTCAGGTCCTAACTCTCAACCTCTTAATTCTGGGAGTTTTCACGTGCTAACTTATGAGGATCAAGAAGGGGACTGGATGATGGTTGGAGATGTGCCGTGGGAGTAAGTGATACAATATATATCTTAAAATTAAACTCTTAAACCTTAGGACAAAACTTAGGTAATATATCATATGTACCATTAGTGTTGGTTTCCACCGAGAATTAGAGTTTTACTTCTGATTGGAGAAGTGCACCAACAGTATCTATGGTACTGTATCTAAGTTTTGTTTTAAATCTTATCAGCTCCGTTTTCAGTATTTTTCTAACCCTTTTGTGTATAATTAATGCAGGATGTTCTTGAACAGTGTGAAGAGGCTGAAGATCACGAGAGCTGACAGATGCTAGTTAATTTAATAATGTATACAATCTTTCACAACACAAGCTCCTCCTCAATTTTCATTGTTCATAAATTTTTGTTCTAGATCTAGTTATTAATTAGAGGGTGGGTGAAACCGTGGAGAAATTCCACCAAAGAGAATGGATCCCGTGATTATCATAATATCTAATAGCTTTGTACACCAAAAAGTATAGATGTATAGCTTCTTACCTAATTCTCAATGCAGTGCATAGCTGCAGTGTTTCTTAGTGTCTCTGTTTGATGATGGAGTCCTCTAATTTTTCTTTTTGTTTTGGAACTAGCTCTATTATTTTGTAGCCATTTGGAACATTGCATCTTCATTGGGTCATGTTAACTATAATGCATAATGTTTCTTGGTGTGATGGGGGTACTCCAAAAATTTCAAGCTTAATTTATTTTTGTAGTGATTTGGGATATTGCACCTTCCTCGGATGAATTTTACCTAGAAGATGAAATATGAAATACTCTAATGGGTATGTTGCTTAAAACTAATGAAAGCTAATAGTGAAAGCAGAAAAAGAAGGTATGATTTTCCTAATTTCCCTAGAAGTGCCTTTTTTTCTGCTGTCTCTGCTTTGATGTGTTTGGCTTTGTTGGGTACAACATAATGATGCTTAAGGTGTCCACACATACCCCTCGTGTCAAGAACAGTGGTTTTGCTTTCATTGTCATAATTTGAGGAAGATTCTAACTGTGAATTAAACAATCCATATTGAAACACCTGTCCGCCAGAGAAGTGTACTCATTTTGATTGTAGATCAAACATTCACCAACTGATAATGATATTTCATCTGGACAATCATTGATAGCCCTTCATTTTCAAGTTTCAACTCCAGCACAAGGACCAAAACTAAAACTTTTATCAGGCTTCAACTAACACACGCTCATATCTATCATAAACCGATTACAGTTTAATAAACATGCCGTATAATATTTTTTAACCGATTATATTTCATCATCCATAATATTTTTATGGTGATTATTGTTACAGTTCATAAATAAATTAAATCCAATGAATGTTCCTCAGTTTACACCACATATGGAGTTAGTGAGAAAGGACCTTAGAAATGTATTGTCACTTACTTTCACACACTCACTTTTAATTTTTTTTTAATTAAAATACTATTTTGTAACATTTTTAAAATCTGGATATCTATTTATTACATAGAAAATCTTTAAAATATTTTTTTATAAATATTATTACTGTAATAAATTTTTATTTACAATATAATTGTAAAAGTTAGATAAGTTTTTTATACACTGAATAAAAATAATGGTGATAAATTTTATGTGATCTAAATTTTTCACATGTTGTTAAAGTTTTATGTGTTTGAGAAATATTAAATTTTTAAAAACAAAACTTTTTTTCTTCTAAAAATAAGTTGTTTTTTATAACTAAAAATTGAAATTTATAATTATTTCTTAATAAAAATTTTCTTTTAAGTTGGATAATCTTTTTAAAAAAATTGTTCAAGTAATAATTTTAAAATTTTCATTTTTATAATATTTGAATTTTTTTTATTTCATTTATTGTGTATAAATTAATTATTATTAAAAATTAAGCTTATATTTTTAATTTTTAATAAATATTATATGTATAACTTTTTTAATTATTAAATGTAATTAATTGAATTTTTTAACTCACTTTACTAAATAGGATAGGACATGAGACATTTAGTTACTCTGACTTTTAATAAAAAAAAATTAAACCAATAGAAAATCTTCATAATATTGTTTATAGATATTATAAAATATGTAGTTTAAATCTTTAATGATTTAAATTCATATTTTAAAATTATAAATATTAATTAATTAAGTGAGAAATGATTAAATAAAAAGACATCAGATTAATTTTGAAAAAGTAATTTAAATTATTAAAAAAATTAATATTCTTAACTAACTTAACTAATTTTCTTAAGATGTGTAATTTATCTAAAAGGATCTAGTAATTAAAGATAGAGGTAGTATTCATGAGACAATATCCAACTTGAGTACTTCTTTTCTTTCTATATTTTTGAAAAAAAAATCAATCATTTAATTATATTATCTCAATATAAATATAATAATATTATAAACAAGTGTATTTTAACATGTGTAAAAACAATAGTAATGTGTATAAATGCATGAGTATCGTTCTAGTTTGAGATAAAAGATTATCGCATGATTTATTGAGTAAAAAAAAATAAGATTTTTTTCTTGTCTTTCATTTTTTTTATCCTATCCTATACTTTTTTGTAAATCAAATGTAAATGAGTTTTATTTATCTTGTTGAATATCATAATTTTTACAAATCAAACAGATTATTAATAGAATTTTTTTCTCTCAACTACATTTTTTATACCTAAAATTTAAATTTAAAATCCTATTTAAAATAACTAAATGTAGTTCCAGTTGAATTAAATTGATATTCAGCCAAGTAGTCTAATAATGCGTGAAGAAGCATAATGAAGTATAAGAAATGGAATAAATATATTATTATAGCGTTGTTTGAATATTTTAAAATAAAATAAACTTTCTATGTCATTATTTGAAAAACAAAAGGAATAATAAGAAGTGTGTTTGGTTTTTGTCTGTAGGGTCTCTAATTATGGATCCAGCAAAAGTTACACAATATAATATTTTGCCTAAATTATAATTCAAGGTTTTTCAAACTAAATAGCCAACATGCAGTTAAAAAAAAAACTAGTTAATATTTCGTTTATTTTAAAATAATTATATTTTAAGGTTGTGTACAGTAATTAATAAAGTTATTAAATAAATTGATTATATTACTCTTTCAAAGTAATAATATTCTCTTCTTTACCAAAAAAAAAAGTAATAATATTCTCTCCCTCCACGACATACCAAAGGACAACGATAAAAAAAAATGTAATTAATGTTTTCTTCACTTTTTAAAGTGACAAATAATTTAAAACAATTTAAAATATCGAAATGATAAAATTATTAGATTTGATTTAGTAATAAGGAATTGAAATAATATGTGTAAGATTTTACATTTAAATTTTGTTTTCTTCATTATAATTTCTATAAATAAAAAAATATATGAAATGCTAAAGTTAGGATAAAATAATAATAATCCAATATCCAATAACAAAACAAGTTTAATAGTATTATTACCATATTTATTTTTATGTTCAATACAAGGATAAAATTTTAGATATAATATTAATTATAAGTATATCATCAAGAGTTTGATAGGATAATCTCCAATAACATAACTAATCAAGATGTCTTTCAAAAAAAATAATAATAATAAAAAACTAATCGAGATTTGAATCCTCACAATAAAAGGTGTCCATATAATTACTATCGGACAATATCTTGATTAAGAGATCACCTCTGAAAAAAAAAAAAAAAAAAAAAAAAAAAACACCCCCAAAAAAAAAATTTAAAAAAAAAAAAAAAAAAAAAAAAAACACTTCCATCAAAATCAGTATTCCATTTCTTTATCAAAGATTGATTTTAGTTACCACAATGAATGTTGATTTTAATTAAAAAAAACAACACTGATAATAATTATAATATTATGTGTGAGTTTTATACTTTTCATAAATTCAAAAGCATAATCATTAAATAGATTTATTATAAATGGAGGCATGTGCCCTATTATTATTATTATTTTTGGCAGAGTCCTCTGTTTTTATCTGAATATATATCTGCAATATTTTGAGTCAAAAATTAAATTTTTAGAAATATTATAATATATTTTCATGAATAAAATCTATAATATATTGAAATAATACAAATATTTTATTGATTACTATTCCTTGTGATTCCTTTAATCATTTTATTTTGACAAATTAAAATATTAATTAAACAAAATATAGCAGAAAGAGTATAATACAATCTCAAATTTGGCGAGTCTGTGTCTTAATTTGAATTAATAAGAATAAAATCAAAAGTAAATGTTTCACCCAGAAATATAACAAGAAAAGTATAATATTGTATTCATACACTATAATTTTATTATTTAAAAACATGACTTAGTTTTGATCATTTTTTTTCTCAAATAAAAATACTCGTTTATTTTCCAAAGAAATAAGTTTAATATCTTTCAAATTGTACTGGAAGAAATTAATAAACAGCTTCACTCATAATTTGATTGGATTTTTTTATATTTTATAATATAACAAACGATTTTGTAGGGCTTTTCTATAATGTCCATGCATGCATGCATACTATGTTAATATTATGGATGCACACATTATTCTCAGACCGACCAATTTGATCTAGTTTTTATAACACCGCATCTTTATATTAATAATTTTTTTACACTAATTAATTAATATACTATTATTTTGTCTTAATCATGAAAACTAATTTTATCTTTTAATTCTTTATCTTAGCTTTTATGTCAAGAGACAACATAATAAATGATAAGTTAATTAGTTAATATTCTGCACATCGTAGAAAAAAAACCCCATGTTTATATACTATTTTTTATGTCTTATTTGAAGCACACTTTATTAAAACTGCACAAATATATTATTTATATTTTTACATGGGTATCTTTATGTCGTCATGGCATCATTATTTTTAATTTTATATAACCTAAAGCACTAAAAGCAGGTTTTAATTTATTTATATTTACCAATAAGAGTCATAGGACAAATTGAAATGCTAAATGAACTCAATATTCATTGTTTGCTATGGAATGGACCCTACATTTCACGTAGTCCTTTCATATAAGATTGGTTCCTATTATGCAACTTGTACCTCACTCATTTACTCCAATAGTAGTATGAGAAAATTCGATTAATGAAGTCCTTTAACGAATCTTCGCACATGTAAATTGTGATGGAGACCTAGACTAATAGAAGGGGTGACAATGAAATGTAGCCAAATAGGAAAATATTTCCTCAAATACAAACTATATATAACCTTGTTATAGTCCCAAACTTTTTCGACTCCTATCAATTATAGTGTTTAGTTTTGTTTTTAGACACCACCCAAAAGATCTCTTAATTAATAGAGACAATTGTGCGTATATAAATTCATATTCATCTTCTTGTTTGAACGATTTGAGACTTTGCTTCCATCCTAACATTTAATTACGTATCAACTATAGTCCTTTAATTACGCTACAACTCGAATTAGATATAAACCTCTTAAATTAGGTTTTAAGCTTGAATTTAGTCAATAAAAAAAAACACCATTTAAAATTTTACTAAAGTGCTTAGTTAAGTTTTTTTTTCCTTATAAAAACTAGGCTTAAATATATTTTTAGTCTCTCAAATTTAAGACAAATTTATTTTTGGTCCCTCAAATTTAAAACTGTTATTTTTAGTTCCTATAATTTTCAAAAATTTTGTTTTAGTCCCTTAGATCACCAATAACATATTTGAAAGTGACTAATTAAGACAGTTATGCAATATCAACCGGATTTAATGTGATATTTTCACTAATAAGGATACCAATAGGTAGATTTTATACAATAATATTTGATAAATTTCTTAACAAAATTTGAATATAAGGACTAAAATAAGATTTTTTAAAATTACAGGGACTAAAAATAACAATTTTAAATTTGAGAGACCAAAAATAGATTTACCCTAAATTTGAGGTACTAAAAACATATTTAAGCCTAAAAATTAATTATTTACAAAACTAATAATATAATAATTGATAAAAATTACATGTATGTAATTTTATTTTCTTCTCTTATTCTCTCTCTCTCTATATATACCTATATATAACTTGATTGTTAAAGGATTATTCATCATGATTTACCTTACGCATGAATATATAATATATTCTTAATCTGCCTTGTAAATTTTAAATTAAAAGTATAATTTAATTTAAATATTATTAAATATTAATTATTATATCATCTATTTAATGTTAAATTATTATAGAGATTACAATTTTAACAATTAACAATTCAATAAAAGAATTAAAAATTTGTGAACTTTACAAAATTGGGGAACTATAAAGTTGAAAATTGGAGGAAAAAATTGTAAATTACATATTATTATAAATGATTTTAAGTGTAATATAGCATTTTTTTTAACGAAAACTTTATTTTAACAAATAATTACCGGTATTTTGTAAGTTAATGATTATCAGCTTTTGAAATAGTGAAAGAATGAGTGGTTTATGATATCATAATTTGTACAAATGGCCTTTATTCATTGTATCTAGATGTGTTGTTTTTCATACAAGAGATATAATGTATTCTTTTTATAAAATAAAAAAAAAATCCTTTAAATGAGTCCTTATAAGTTCCTTTGGTTTGTTTGAAAGAATGTGAGCAAATTGGTCCATGAAAGCCCAATAGACAGCACAGAATGATACAGAACATTTGCTAAAGAGAATAATGATGGGCCTAGGCCCAAATCAAAGATATAGATTTCCTAAAATCTGAGAACTGAAATATCGAAACACCATCGAATCGAAAGAAAATTATGAATTAGACGCAGAAAGTGCGGGGGGCGGTAAAGCGTGGGAAGAAGTTGGTTTAACGGTTAAAGTGTGTCGAAACGGCGTCGTAATCGTTCATTCATTCATAGTCCGACAGCATGAAAACCCCGATTTCGGGTTTGTACCGAAACCCCGTGAAGTTCAGAATGTAAGTTTGGAAAGTGCAAGTGTTTGATTTTGTTTGTGTTTTGAATTTGAATGCGTGATGAATGATAACTGCACAGGCCAACTGCGGAGAACTTGGTTCCCATTCGCTTGGATATCGAAATCGAGGGGCAGAGATACAAAGACGCATTCACTTGGAACCCTTCTGGTAATTTTTAACCAAACTTGTTCCTCTTTATTCCTCACCGTTTATTGAATTCCAACGTTGTAGATCCCGATTCCGAGGTTGTCGTCTTTGCAAAAAGGACTGTTAAAGACTTAAAGCTCCCTCCCGCGTTTGTTACACAGATTGCTCAATCAATTCAAGTAAATAACATTTCACCAATTTTTTTTATTTTTTTTTCTTTTACTGCATTTTACCTAATTTACATTCTGTTCTGTTGTGTTATCAGTCACAGCTTGCCGAGTTTCGATCCTATGAAGGCCAGGATATGTATGCTGGGGAGAAGATTGTTCCAATCAAGGTCTCCCATTTTGTGTTTCTCTTGTTTCACTCAATTTTGCTTTGCCTATTAACCATAATCGTCTTGTTTCGTTTTCTCAGCTTGATCTTCGTGTTAATCACACGCTTGTGAAGGACCAGTTTCTATGGGTAAGATTGGAGCTATAGCAGGATGGTAGTCAATAGAGTGCTATAGCAGCACTATAGTGGTATAGTAGTTAATGATAGCACGCTTTAGCGGCACTATAGCAGGATAGTGGAGTTCAAATAGCAGAGCGGTTTCAATAGCGGCCAAAATAGCAGCTTTTCGGGCGCTATTGACGGTGATTGTCTGTAAACTGTGACTTATTATATATCGTGAAAATCTTTAATTTTGAGGAGTTTGTTTTGTTTTTTTTTTTTGCGTATTTATAAGTGTAGCACAAACTATTTAGTTTGTATTATAATATTTAAAATAGTTGTCATCTCGCTTCCTGCTATAGCGTTTTCAGAGTTAGCCACTAAATGCTGCTATCTGGGATTGGTAACTATGATTTCAGCACAATGCAGGTGTTGTGTTGTAAGATTGCTGTGCTTGTTTGTTGGTTCGGGTTTTATGTGTCTAAACTCATTGAATTCCAGGACTTGAACAACTTTGAGAGTGATCCTGAAGAGTTTGCCAGAATCTTCTGCAAGGACATGGGCATTGAAGATCCTGAGGTTGGAGTAAGTATATCCAATTATCCCTAGTACCAAGTTAAAATAAAACTGGATATTTTGGAGCCTTGTCAAACTCCCTGCTCCCCAAGAAGGATTGATGACTGAAATTTTAACTTTTGCCAACTTTATGCTATTTTCCATGATCTTTCTTCTCAGGAACATAATAGGATTTAACTTGTGGCAACTTTATGCTCGTTTGTATGATGACAAACTTATGTTGGTAATGGCATTTTGGTTGGGTTATAATAAGAAACAATTTGTTGTGCTAAAGTAGAAATTAAATTCTTGTTTATCCATGAAAGTTTCTCTCCCTCTCTCTCTTCTTAACATGCCCAAGCACAAGCACACAGACATGCTTGAAAAATCAAACAGACTAAACTGTAAAATGCTTCTTTTACGTTGCAGCCAGCTATTGCCTTTGCTATCAGAGAGCAACTTTATGAGGTAATTCATTCTATTGGTGTATCATATTCAGGAATTATAAATGGTAAAGTTACAATAATATTTGTTTTTCAATTTCAGATTGCAATTCAAAGTGTGGTTTCAGCGAGAGAAAGCAGAATGAGCAAGAAGGGTCGTCGAGGGGCTGAATATACTCCTGTCAGGTTGTTTTTTATACATTTATGTCATGGTTCGCGTGGTGTGATAAATGCAATGTTATTAAATTCCATGTGAATATGTACGTTCCTAATCCGCTTTATTGTCAATGATATATTAACAGTAAAGGAGGCGCTGTAGCAGTGGACTTGGTTAAGTTATTTAGTCCAAAATCTAGTGTGGTCCGGTAAGTCTGTTTCATAAAATTTGAACACTCCTTTTTGCTCAAATTCAATAATTTAGTTCGGAACATTTATATCATTGTCCAATCATCTTAGACTGCTTAGTCATCGTGCCTTCGTAGCCCATGAAATTAAGTAATTCATAAATATTAGAATTCAGCTAGGAAAAGTGGATAAACGGTGACATAATATGACATTTTTTACCAGTTATTCACAAATTGAATCCTACTATTCAATTTGATTCGGCTACCTATCAATTTGTATCATAAGATGAATTTCAAATGACTTCGAATTTTATGGTACATGAATGAATAGGTGCAATTTCATATTATCGATATTAGTCACATGATTCAATGATTTGCAATTTTTTTTTACAAATTTAAATGCTCAATTCCCAAATTTCAGATGTCAATTTCCCAACTGCTAAAAAATTTAAATGTTTTCCCTCTATCCTTAATAACTATCACCCAACTAGTTCTGTGACTTCCTCGATCCTATCATATAGAACAAGGTTTCTTTGGGCCAGGAACTAATTTGCAAGTTTTGTATTAACATCCCTGTTTAGATTATGTCACAGGCTTGGCTTATTTTTCTTGAATATAACAGGAAAAGAAAGGAGTGGGACGTATATGAACCTATTGTGGACCTACTATCCAACGAGGAAGTGGATGCCCTTGAAGCAAAAGAAGAGAGAAATTTCAGATGAATTCTCACCATGGTCAGCCCCGCCTTATTGGAAAGGTATAGTTCAATGACAGCATGTATCCGAGGGTTAGAGTTCGAAATTCTTTATTACATACAAGCTGTTTTGTAGGACTGGGAATCAATGATTCAGAATATTGTTATCGCTTTCTTTTAATGGTTGTAGAGTTTCTTATTTGTTCTCTGTGCCCCCAACAAAAGAAAAAAATATAGCATCATATTTGCATAATTTTCTGTAAAACTTAGATTTAGCAAGCAACAACAATCAAGCCACTTCCCACTGAGTTAGAAATTTCAAAGAATATGATGTTTGGTTATGTCTGTATGGGTAGTGCGTACAAGCTTAATACCTCATTCTTGAATATATATAAAATTTAATTTAGTCAAGAATAATCACAACCTCGTCGGAACATTAGATCCAAGAATGCAAAGCCTCCCTTCTTGGGCATAAGACGCAAGCATATATTGATCAAGTAGATAGATCCAACGCACCCCCGGCATATATTGATGCTAATCAACAACTTCCTCACATTTTTGTTCTCATTCTACTTGCCTGCTTGCTTCCAAACTCGATCAAGGATAAGAAGTACGTTCACCCTCAACATCAAAAGGGAGTGCATGAATCCAAATTGTATATTTCTACCATTCACAAATTTGCGGATTGCAGAATTAGCCCCATAGGTGTAGACTGTAGAGCATAGAGAACATGAAAACTACTCATCGGGGAGCAATTGAAGATAATACCCATAACTCAAGAAAGAGAGAAAAAGAATTTAGGCTTGTTTTCAGGTAAGAGAAGTATAGAATAATGCATTGGAGAAAATTTCTTTTATTATTGAGATTATGTACCATCTACCATTCACAACGAATTTGGGAATTATAAAGATTTGTTACGAGAGATTATGTACCATCTATTATTGAGTTGTCATTGAATCAAATCCAAACTTGTACTACTTTATAGGAGTAGATAGTTCGGACGAAAGTCAACTTTTGTTAGGGATAACAAATAATACACGACTCTAAACTATTTGGATGGTTATGACTTACCACCATATAATCATTGATTTTTGTTTTTTGATTATTTTTAATCATGCATAAGAATTTATTTGATCTATATTAAAAAGTTAAAATAGGAATTTGTTTGATCTTAAAATCTTGTTATATTAAATTCTGTGCATTTAGTAATCATTTGATTAGATTTAATATGGTTTTGTTTACCTTTAATTTTTCAATTGTTAATTTTTATTTTTTTGTTTACTTATTCATTCCAGTTATTTCATTTGAAAGTAAAAAAATAAAATTATGGAAACAAATCAATGGGAATGTTGCACGAAAATCAATTTACTAGCTTATTTAAATTCAATACTCTTGAATGATTTCTCAATAATAATAATAATAATAATAATAATAATAATAATAATATTATTATTATTATTATTATTATTATTATTATTATTATTATTTTGATCAAAACAAACTCATTATTTTCAACTGAATAACCTTTTCAATACAAGGTGGAATAAGGTTAGTGGGATGGGGACAAGGGTTGTTCTTAGAGTTCCCAACAATGTTGTGGGCTGCCAAGTGTGTTTGTCTCCTCCTTGTGAATCTAACGTAACAATATGGTATCTATGTAAGAAGGTTTCTACATTTGTTAAGAATAATTTCATATTCAGCGATGCACCTAATCTTATTTAAATGTAGTTATCTTAATTAAAATTTTAACATTACATATCAAATTAATAAAATCTTTTGATATTTTAGAGAATTAAATATAATAATAATTATTGGTTAAAAAATCAACAATAGATATTATAATTAATTTTAAATTTTATTTTGTAAGAATTTAATTAAATCTTAATAGTTGATTTTATAATCAACAGTTGACAGGACACTTTATATCTAATCATCCGATGATTTTATAGTCACATTCATTTTGATAGGGTTGTTTGTATCCAATCTAATAATAAAATGAAAATCACAAATTGATAAATAAAAAAAATTCCAATTTTTTAAGCAGTTTTTGAACTATTTTTTTTTCTTTTGTTTGATATTTTCAAAATCAAACCATTCCAAAATTAGTATTTTCAAAACCAAACTAATAAAATTATAATTTTAATACACATGAGATATACGACGTGTTTTATTAGTCTATGCAATAAATTTTTTGTTTGATCGGTATGTCGAAATTGACAATCAATAAATAAATGTAAATATTCATCAAATCAAGCAATTTGCTTTTAAAAATAAATTGTTCTAAAATGTAGGTATTTTCTTGGGTTCTCTTCTCGTATATCATAATCTTCCCTGTCCTTTAATTTTTTTTTTGGTAAAGATAAGAAATATTATAAAAATGATCGCAATGAGGATTGAACCTAGATCTTCATGCTTCTAACTATCCCAACCCTTTCTCACTCAACTACTAGGTTAATCCTAGTGGTCGTCCTTTAGTTAATACAATAGACATATTTAGATAAGTTCTTCGTAAATACTTCCGAGAAAGAAAAAAAAAATTAAACGCTAAAATCAACTTATATATGAAAAAAATTGTAAAAGTCTCTTATATTAGTTCCTTTAAAAATTAACTTTAATTTATAAAAAAACTTTTTTTTCTTATTTTATTTTTTAGAAGTGTTTCTGAAAAAAATTATTCAAATAAAATCCGATGCTTAGTTATTATCATCTCATTTTCTTTGTATTTGAACTTTGGTCTGTAACCTTAAATATTTAAAATTCTAGTGATCTGGTTATCTTGATTTGAGTTTTTGAATCGACAAGTGTATATGATTAAGCTTTCTAGCAAGTGCACATGGGCACATAATTTGGTTGAGTTACACTTCCCATCTAATCACTAGGTTTCATGGATTGTGAGGGGAATGGTTATTTTAATCTTTACAAATAAAAATTATAATTGTCATATTATTTTTTAAATTAAAAATATTAAATAAATTATTGAAAATCAAATTAATATTTATTTCAGTTAAAATTTTAAAATATACAATAATATTGATATATATTAAAAAATTAAAATAATAATAAGTAATTAAATTTAAAACTAACTTTAACATTTTAAGGATTTATTGTAAAGAAATTATTTAACATTTTGTTAATTTTAGTGTTAATGTGACGTGACAGCATTGAGCGGCATCAAAATTACTGTTTACTCATCTAAGACGGTGTCCACCACTCAGTCTTAAGATATTTTCTGAATTATCTGACTTTTACAGAAACATACAAACAGAAGAGATAAAATAATGGAGTTTAACATTGACCTTTGACTGAGAGAAGTGAAAAGAAAAGAATCTAGCATTCATTCATCATAATCTCGCCATGATTTTCTCTCATCAATCATGGGGATTCCGTTCCCTACACATTTTACATTACATTACATTACAAGCACCGCCACCGTCTTCACTAGGAAAAGGGGCACTTTCTAAATCCTATCAAACACCTACACATCATTTTCTATGATGAGATTTGCATCAAACCAGCTAAGATTATTAACTAATATGATGCAACTATGACCTTAACATTAGCATACAAAAACATTCGCTAATTGCTGCAGTGCCACTTTTTTTTTTTCTTCAAAGAGTTGTCTCAGCTTGAAGATGTTATATTGCAGGCTGTAGATTTGGACTTATCCAGAATAGACCACATAACTTGAACATCTTCATACCCACATGCCATCACTTCGCCATGCAGATCCATTACTTGCCTCTCTTGCTCTGTAATCATCAACATATTCCAATCAATAAAGAACAAATGTTAAAACATGTTTGTTTGTGTTAAAAACTATAAAATGTAACTTGAAGTGTCCACAATTGTGTGTCGGTGAAGAAAGATTAGTTATAAGGCACGTACACACACACATACACACCTGTTTGAGGCTTATTCTTTTGATCCCTTGTGGGTTGCTGGTTGAAGAAAGTGCAAGCCTTTTTGAATGGTGTGGTGATGGTCTTCTTCCAAGAGGCCATTTGACTAGAGAGGTCTTTGCAATGAATGTGGTGCCAAGGACTTATATAATATGCACTTGCAAAGGAAGAGAAAGAAAAGGAAAAGTGAGAGGAACAAAGGGACAGGAACTGAGGGGTGAAGAGAGGGGCAAGATCCGTGAGATGAGGGTATTGGTGGAAGGAAGATGAGTCCTTTTTATTGAGTTCCCTTATCTCATTAAGGTAAAGGGTCGGCGACTGCACCAAAGCACATGCTGCACGCTCCCTCACAAGACACCTACTACTTCTCTCACACGTGATATCTTTTCTACTAAATGGACCCCCCCTCCCCTCCTAATAAGTTAACCTATGCCCTTTTCATTCTCACCTTCATTGCTCAACTGTCACTCATTAACCTTTCTATTTTCATCACACCATAAATCCTTTGCCCTTCTAACCTTCCTAGGTGTTTCGGTGCCTTTGGAAATAATACCTTCTTCTATTCATCATTCCCTCCTCTCCTCTCCTGCAACACCACAGTAATAGTAACATAGTTTAATATTTATTCACTGACGATATAAAAAGTTTTCTCCAGTCAATTAATCAAAATTCTTATAAAAGTCAACAAGTTTACTATATATGTATTACCATTAACTATGATAGTATATACAATGAAATTTAATCTTTACATATTTAGGTGGAGGTGCAATCAAAGCTATAAAATTCTTCTCATTTATTAGCATACAGCTTTTTTACTGTGTAAAAGTAATTTATCTATGGGGAAAAACAATGATACTGACTTACTGTGATTTGGTGAAGAGAGGGACCCTCGAATGCAGGTCTGTAAATTCTGAGCCTTATATGTAGAAATAAAGGCATTGGACAAAGGTCGAGTTCCCCACTTCATGGCATGTGATAATGATGTGATATGGCCTATGGGAAATGGGAACGTGGAAGATTGGACAACACAGCCAACCAAAGGAACCCCAATCCCTTGTGGGGTCTTCATGCATGAGGCCCTTCATTTTCAGCCCTATCTAGTACCCCCATTTTTCACATTAATGCCCATAATTTAGCCATGGAAAAATAAAAGTCTTTGGACCCATAATTTCGTAAAAAAACCTGCATGAATGATTTAAAGTAGTACCGAAGAATTTTCATGTTGAATGTGAACACTAGGGCGACGGTGCCGTTGATTCTAATCATGAGTTGACAAAGACATAGCAATTTAACTAATCATATATTGTTAGCTTCCCAATGCAGCTTAATTTTGTTTGAAAATCTCCATACCCCCAATATCTTCCCTGTAAAGTGTGTCTTGTCATTGGTTACAACAACATAAATCAACAAATCAAACAAATAAATACTCTATGAAAGTACTAACATCTAGTATTTAGAGTCAACTTATCTTTGGGTATCTAAAAACCCATAAACAATGCAATCTTATGACAATGTCATATCCACATTTTCATGTTAATTCAATTCTTTTATGACTTAATTAAGATTTCTCTGACGTAAAGCTCATATTCCTCGAGATGTATTTGGATTTTTAAGGGCTTTGCGTATGATGCAAATTAAATGACATAACAGAGAGGAGCCATCAGTATTGTAATGATTTTATGCTGCATGTCCTTTGATCTTAGTTATTCTTTTCATTTTCAATTTAGCGATTAGACTTTGTTTATTCCCTTTCACATGCAGTGTACCTGTGAAGGACGAGTAAACAGTAAAAAATTATTGCTAGGACAATTATTGTTTTGTGAATGACAATAAAACCTTGTCTTTTTGGCCTAAAAATAACAAAATTGATTGAGGATAAATATTTGAGATGATTGGCACACGGTTTTCACAGGCAAACATACTGCATGCCATGTTAGGTCATTAAATGTTTTGTACTGCGTATGAATTTTTTTATTACTAAAGTTAATTGGAATATACTTACACTTTAAAAGTTATTTTATCTTGTTATTTAATCATACCGAAAATGTGGGTCAAAGAAATCGGATGATGATACTATTTAGTCCGGTGATCTATCCATTTCCAGAGACAAGTAATGAGAAATGTAGGAATCACAATGCATTGCAAGCAAGGATTCAACAACCCAATAATAAACTCTGCATGTCTATTTCATGATTCATTGCATGCTCCATCTTTTCTCATAACTTTTGGGTCACAAGACATGATTATGTCTATTTTGTCTCTTAAAGCAGGGGATTACATCCCCACATTCACGTTTTTTCTCAAGATCCTTTTGTTAGGTATGTACTTCAGGAATCCACTGTTCAACATCTTCTTCATGGGTGAAAAATTTTATGAGAACCACCATTTTAATCACTTTGAGCATATGGGATAAATACATTTTTATATTCAATTATTTAATTATAATTGTTTAAATTAAATGTAATAGCTAGAGCAAATGATTTGAGTAAAAAAAAGTTAGATTAATGTAAATAACCCAAAATCACATGTGACATATCAAAATAATACTTAATTAAACAACTCTTGATTCATTAAAGTTGCTTTTAATGTCAATATTTTTATTAAAAACTATCTTTGAAATGAACTTAAAAATAATTATTAAAGAAATCAACAATCTTGATTATGCTGAGATCCAAATCATTGACAAATCTCCATTGTTGAATATATACTTGTTTTTTTCTAGTGATTAGAGCGGTAGAGGAAGGTAATGTAATAGTATCTTTTAACATATGATCTAATTGGGATATTTTCCCATAATAATAAAGTAAAAAAAAGAGAGAAATTTAGAGTAACTTTAAATTGGGAAAGAAATTCAATTCTTATTTTCTTCTATAAAATAATCCCCTACAGAGAAATTTATGCAACCTTAACCTTATTCTACAGCATCTTATATATAATTGGGATGCGAATGAGTAATATATAGTTACAGTAAAGAGTATAGTTGAGCATCATATATAGTGTGTTTCATCTATTTCCGCAATGCAGGCTTCAGATAAAGAATTCATGATATGCCTGCTTTTAAGATTGGGCCGGATAAATCTGAATTGGTTAGATTTAACCAACGGGTCAGCCCGAAACACCTTCAAATTTTAAGACTGTTTGGTATTACTAGTCAATTTGGATTAATTTGTAATTCTTCTTCTTCTTCTTCCTTCCTTTTTATTTTATTTTTCCCTTTTGTGTCACGTATTTGGCTGTCCAAGCCTATGCAACATATATACAGAGAGAAATTTATGAGCTTATGGTGTTATTTTCGCGCTACTGAACTAAAGTGATTCATTCTTTAAATTAAAAGAAAAGAGGGGCATGCATTCTAGGGAAGAGTTAAAGAACACCATTCCAATTGAGGCTACACATGGAAGAGCCATGCGTGCCTAAAGATCACAAAGGATCCTAGCTAGGAAAAATAAGATAATTCGTATCAATTTAGATTGCCCAAATTCCTCATGCATAGCTACTTAATTAGGTAGGAAAATAACCCATTCTATTCTAGGTTGTATCGTGGCTTGCTAGCATGGATTTTTTTACTTAATTAGATACTAGTATAGTAGTAAAAAATGAAAACATTTCCATGTTATACCAAAATTTCCATGTATCGTGGCTTCACTATAAGTATTCTTTTCTTTTTCTTTTTTCAATTCTCATATTTTTGTTTGTTTAGGGCTGGGGTCACTTTTGTTGTGCTTACTTTGTTTAGACAAGTTATGAGTTGGACCCCATATATGCATTTGCTTCCTGTGTCCTTCAAATTCCTGTGACTATTACTGTCTCAATTGGATAACTGGTTACATTTTTATGCCCTTTTAATCACAATTCACTTATTATTTATTGTCCTTTTCAAAAGGACCATACTCAAAATTAGTACAAGGGAAAAAAGATGTTTATCTAAAATATGCTAACTTTCAAATATGTAAAAATGTAATATATATTAGGTGAAGCCAGTGAGGACAAACTTTTCAGCATGATAGCCTTTACAATCTTTTCATCAGTTCAGCTGTGCCATTTAATTTGATTCTTCCAAGTAACATCAGTCCTACTAGAGTAACTAGGAAACAAAACATAGATACTTTTTATGCCTATATTTTACATTACAGAATATACATACATACATATATATATATATATATATATATATATATGTATATATATATATATATAA